TCATTTGTGGCTTTTCTTTTATTATAAGTTATGTTATAAGTCATTAAAGTTATATAATTTATGCTAAAAATTGCTCATTAGATCACACCATTAATCAATTATACATAGTACTCACTATCTACCATATCTCTATGTATTTTAAAACGTTGAATCTATTTTAGAGTGAAATCTGAAATGAAAAAAGAAATGAGAACAATCAAAACAACATGGTTTAAAATAAAATATGGAATGAAAAACATAACTTTTAATAAAATATTCATAACTTGTAAAAAAATATTCGCAACTTTTAACATAAGTAGACACACTCCCACCTATAACTATTAATCCTTACCGATAATTATCAATATAGAGAAGTCTGAAACAGCAAATACATCAACTCACACTTTCTCTAGTTTTCAATTATATTTAGAAATGTTGAAGAAACCATTACTTTTATGCAAATTAATATAACTTGTAAACGACAAAAAGTAACTTTTAAACCCAAAGGCTTAACTTTTACCTAAACTCCCAAGACCTCTAAAATAATCAAACAATCTTTCAAGTTAACATAAGCTAATAAAGCCATAATGTAGCATAAGGAAAGAAAGTCATAACTTATAGTCTCACTTTAAATCTAATAAAATTTAAAAGCTACAGAATGTATGATTTTGGATAAAATAGAGAAGTGTGAGATTAGTAGGAAAACAATGAGTAGCCTCTGCCCACATTTTAGATCATAAAGATCTGAAGAATAATAATGGAAATCAGAAACTAAAAACAACAAAAAGAGTAAACTAATTTCTCATTCAGAAAGAATGAAAACAAATTATGCATGTACTAATAGAACCATAATCATTTTAACATTTTATCGAATAGTTGGTAGGCATAACTTAAGTTCACAATCAGAAAATAACTGAAAGACATAACTTGAACTCAATATCTATTTCAACAAATAGCTGGCAAGTTCAGACAAGCTTTCATTACAATAATGATCTTTACTAATCTCATATAAACCATAAGTTTTAAGCCTAAAATCGTAAGGGGGTGATTTTAAGGAAAAATTATTTATCAAGGATTTAGCAAAAATTCATTACATATGATTCAACTATTCAATGAATTTGAGAAAGGAGGTCAAAGAGAATCACATATTATCGACTCGTCATAGAATCACACCTAGAGTAGAGTAGAATCGCACAAATTCTCGTTTTAGTTAGAAATATTGGATCGATGAAGAAGATGAGATACAAGAAGAGAGAGAGTGAGGCAGAAACGAACCTAGAGTTGAATATGATGAAAAATCGGTGCTTTTTCAGTGGAAGAGGGCTTCTTCGCGGATGATTCTGCCTTCTCAGCGGAAGGGTTTCTTCGCGGATGATTCTGCCTTCTCAAACGAATAAACAGAGACTTTGAGCTAGAGATAGTCATAGAAGAGCGATGAAGTTTTGTTATTAATAAACTAGCGAAAGGTCATTAAAAAATTGGCCGCCAGATTTGCGAAGATCGGACGCTCTGTATTACTTCTCACTTTTCATCCCTAGCAGGCTTCTCACCAGATCTATTCCCTATATATATATATAGGGTGAGGTTTCAATGAGAAGGATGCTTAACATGAGAACACTGACATTTAAATCAATGTAATGCACACTGGGGCTCTTATGTTGCACATTTCCAATTTGCTAGAATTAAGCCTATATTAAATAAACACGGTGATGACATTTTGGTAAATATTGTGAAAATGCGAAAAAGTGAAATATACAAACTTCATTGTGCAACACGTCGAGGTAAATGTAGTGTTCTCACGTTCTCACGTTAAGCAATGTTCTCATTTGATCTTTATTATTATTATATATATATATATATATATATATATATATATATATATATGATTTAAGATCATATACAAACTAATCCTAATTTACAAAGTGCAAATTGATCCTAACCATCCATATTAGTGAGATAATGAGGAAACTCCCTTATTAAATGTGTTGGTCGGTATTTAGTGGTGGTAGGATAAAAATCTCCCCCCACTAATACGGCTGGTATTAATGCTCAAAAAAATCTTGCCCCTGATTTTGTTATATTGGACGGATGAGATGATTTTGCATTTTGTATGGGAAACATACTTTGTGTGTGTGTGTGTGTGTCTATATATATATATATATATATTAAAATAAAGAAAAAAATTTATGGAAAATAAAAAACAATGCATGCTGAGTAAATAAAGTTGTAAGATCGTTGTGTTTACCGCTTCAATAAAAGCAATTGATGATAGTATTGCGCGCCTTTTCTCCTCATAGGACAGATGTCGTAGCACCACGTTTTGATTGCACCGGAAGGCTAGCAGAATCGTTGGCACTGCATCCTTGCGGCCCAACAATCCTCCAACCCATTTCAGTCTCAACCTAATTAAATTGCACAACATGTTATGGTTGTGGTCGAACTCGTGACCTAGCTATGCTTTGATAACACTTGTAGGATCGACGCGCTTCCCGCCACACCAAAAAACATTTGTTAATAGTGTAGCAGCCTTTCACCCCCTCACAGAACAAGTGTAGCGCCATGTTTCGATTGTACCAACAAGCTGCCAAAAATTGTTGGCACCACATCCTCGTGGCCCAATAACAGCCACAAAAAGGTAAATGCATTCTTAGTCTTTTTTATTGTTATGCAAGTTAATGTGTAAAACTAAAAGTTGAGAACCTAATTAGTAATATCATAATATGGTTTTTGGCCTTATCAGTCTTAAATTATGTAGTAATCTAAATTAGTAAGGATGTAATTAACTTTATAGCTGAGTTTGCTAAAGAGTAAAGGTGTAGTTTTGTCATATGTTTTTTTATTAATAAAATATATTATAAATATATATTTTTAATTTAGTAAACTCTGCCGTTTTTAACAATTTTAGAAATTACAGCCTAATCAACTAGATCAATATTACCAAAACATCTTCTAGTATTTAGTAAAATTTGATAAGGTGAAAGTTGAGGTTACTATAAAGACCATCAATACTTTTTGTGCGTACCGTGTCATCAATACCCCAGCTCTCATAAAGTTTGATATGCCAATTTTTAAGAGCTTATATAAAAATAAAAATCTATTTTTGAGATGTTACAGCGAGTAGCATCTCAGATAAGTCTGTAATGTTTAGCTTCAATTAGTTCCAATAGCTTGTATGCCAAACACAACTAATTAAATCAAATTGTCAACTTTTTATGAAACAACTATTATCTTTTTCTTTTAATATGTTATCAGTAACTAAAAACTAACAGTTACAAAAAGGCTCATAAAAGTATATTTTGAACCATTTGTGTCAAACATACCCTATCTATCCATATTATTAATATTTTCGTAAGAACGTTATTCTAAAACCATTTTGACTTTAAAATTCTTACGCTTTATTGGCACAGAATTATGAAACATAAATAAATCATTTATAAAGTACTTGGTAGTTTTGATAATGAGCTAATAAATACAGATTCATAAACGGCGCGCACACATGTTTAATTGACTTTGTTCTCCTGATTATATAAATTGTTGTTGGAATTGAGGCAATAGCCATAGCCTTTTAAGTCTCACTAAAAGGCTGTACTTTAATTTGATTTGATGAGTTCTCATTTGTCATTTAATCGTTGAGCGGTTGATCCTATAGTATTTGTGTATGTGATGGCTATGGATTAAAACGAGAATAACCTTTAATATTTTGATAGATAAATGAAAACTAAGGGTCCGTTTGGTTCAAGGGATGTCAGATTACCATGAGAATGTTAGATTACTGGGTATGTTAGATTGATGAGAATGTGTTTAATTTGTATCCAAATTGTGTTGGTTAAGATTAAGGGAATGTGACATTAATTTGTTTGGTTCAATGGTATCTTATATTGTATATTTGTTGAATTACTTCAACGCCCTAAATTAAGATAATTAAAATTAAAGAAAAAACGGAATATCTTAATAATAATTAAAAATTAAAACTAATTTAATATTAGTGAACATTTTGAATAATTTTACTAAGTAAATGCATAATAACTTTTTGAGTATGTAACTTTGGACAATGATTTCGATTAGTAAAATTTTATGAAAGTTATTAATTTTATACTTTTATGAAAGTATTTTAACCAAGAACATTTGCATATCACTTTTGAGTTATCTCCTATAACATATACGATAAGACAAGGTTTAAAAAATAAGTTTTACTAGACGAAGGGGGTAATCGTTAATCATAACTCATAAACGTTAGTTTTTTTAACATTTTAGTACGCAGTTTGTTTTCTCAAACAAATAATGTTTTCTTTCACTTTTCTTCTTTCATGAGTAAATGCAGACTTTAGTTGGATTTAATATGTATGGAGTTAGGAGTAATCCCTATCTAGTATTCCTTCACGGTGGCAGACTAGCAGAGGGAAAGCATAGATGAATAAAAAGGACTTTTTAAAAATTGGCCTATTGGGAAGAGGTGGTGGTTGAAGAGAGACTTCACCTTCCGATCCAAGCTTAGAGGGTGGGTATTTTTGGAAGAAAATTTAAAATTATAAGGGAATGTAAGATAACCTAAGGGAGTGGTGGGTTTGACATTAGTGGGCATCTGATGCATTATTCACTTTTTAAGGAATGTAAGATTCCCAACAATTATTCAAACTCACGAACCAAACACATATATCTCACATTCCTGACACAAGATTCCGGCCTGCATGAGGGATTACCTTGAACCAAACATACCCTAAGGATATTTTGTAAAGTATGTTTAAGTGAATTTTGTAGCAAAAATATTTTTCAGTTCCAGACCAAGCCAAATTTAAACAGGTCAGACCAGACTTAAACAAACTTTCATAGTTATAGAATATATAGAGATCATGCAGACCAGGCCATCAAATTAAAGTTCAAGTAAAAACATCCTAATTATATTAATAAATGTTAATGAAAACTCTAAAATTGTGTGTGTGTAGTGTGCACACATATACGGAGGATAAAATATGGGATTGAACATTTTTCTCTCCAAGTAAATCTTATTCTTCCGTCTCTAACAGATTTGTGGTTTTTCAGCTTTTTAATTCAAATATGTTAAAAGTCTAGTAATGTATTAATAACCGTGGTCTCTCTCTAGGGTTAGCGTCGCTAGAGTTGCGATTTTCCGTTTTCGATCTCTCCGATCAAAGAACGGCCTGTTCTCTTGGCTTGTGAGTAGCAATCGATATAGCACGGCTCGTTTATAGGGATTTGGGAAGGTGTAAAGCTTCGGTTTGGGGCCTAGGGTATTGGGAGTATCTGGTTTTTGGTTTCGGCCGAGGAAGAAAGGCGGGGAGGGCTCGAAGCAGGGGGGTTGACGATGAAGGGATCTCTCCCTGTCACATGGAGTCGGCTTTGATTGGGTTTTGTTTAATTCCAATTGCAGCGGCTGTGTTGGTTCGTCGCAGGGGAGGAGCAGTGGATGCTTTCTGCAGAATTCCTGTAGGATGCATAAGGAAGAACGAGAGCACGAAGGGGGGCCGGTGGAGAACATAGCCGACTTGTACGTGGGACGAGGAGAGTTGAACGAGCTTCGAGTAGACCAGTTTTCGATCGACAATGGAGGATCAATTCGAGCGGTACCAATGGTATGGCCTGCTCTTGAACCACCGCCACGGGGCGGCGGGTCAGGACTTCTAGACCCGCCAATGGTGCATGTGGTGATTCTACTCAAGAAAATGAGTTTTGGTGTTTATTTTATTGTGTTTTTGCGTTTTTATTTTTACGGTCAGACTGTTATGTTTTGTTTTTATGCTTTCCTTTGCTGTAAAACTCTTGCATTAAATTTGGGGGATGAGAGGCCTACGTAATCGTCGTTAGATTTAATTTGTCCAAGTTAGGTCTAGCGAGTTATATTGCTTTGTCAAAGGCGATTAACTCAGAGTCTCGACCAAGGGCGGATGGTTACATGTGGTCTTTTTGTCTTATTTCACCCATGCTGAATGCTATTTTAATTTATCAATATAAGCCCCCTTCGATAAAAAAAATTCAAATATGTTAAATATGATAAAAAAATCAAATATGTTAAATATTCCTAGCTTCCTAATTGATTTGTAACATTTAATTTTTTATTTTTGTTAATATTAACTGAAATAAAGTACTATATTAACTTAAATTTTTGATAAATTTTTATTAACAAAACTTAAATATTAACTTCCTAAATTTCAGTTTTGTTAATGAAAATTTATATATTTAAGCATTGTAGTTAATATTATATAGAATTGCAAATACTAAGAGCCTGTTTGGTAACCTTGTTTTTTTTTTTACATTATTAGGCTTATCAATTACTCGTAACTTTTTCATCAAACACGTAACTTTTGATATCGTACTAAATTGTGTAATAATAATAAAAAGTAAGGTTGAAGTTACTTTTCTGGCTGTATTGGCTGAAGTTACTGTAGAAGATCATTTAACTATTATTTTTCAGATTTTTTTCTTTATTATATTAATAAAATATATTTTAAATATATATTTTTCATAAATAAGCAGAATCAATCAATCTAATCACTTCAGCCAGAACTTCATAAATTTCAACAGAATTAACTGATATAAGTATTACCAAACGGGCTCTAAATTAGAATGTCATAACAAATAGGATTTTTTAAAATAATACCACGGATAAAAAATAGGATCACAAAAAAAAGAGAATAAAGTGGTTTTGCCAGCCACTTATCATCTATGAAATAATGTTAATCATACCAACAAGATGCATTTCCTTTTAAGGAGCTCATCAACTAAGAAATTCAAGTTAAGCATGTTCGCACGAGAGTAGTTTTGAGATGAGTGATCCCCTGAGAAGTTTCTAAGTGCGCGCACGAGTGAGCACAAAGTGCGCGGGAAATGCTTGTGGTGGTTTGTGAGGACAAGTATTAGAAGTCTGAAGGGTGTGCAGAAGTAAATACCTCAGGCCCTATGGGATGGAGTGTTACATATAATCCCAGTCACACTGACCACCGCTTGTCAGAATGACCACCGCGAGTCAGTGATACCATCGCCCACAATCCACCGTGCAGTGACCAACATTGACCAATGACCACCACCGGCCATAGTGACCTATTTTTTAGTTACAATGCGCATCCAATTATGAGGATCCGGAACCTTCTCCAACCCTAACCGCGTTGCCGCTTCTCCAGTCCAACTCTATTTGCTGCCATTCTAGATTTGGATCTAGTTCATTGTTCATTGTGACTCGCCCTTTGACTGTTGTCGTATGTAATTGTGGGTTTGTCATCGCCCTCCGATGGTGATTATAACATCAGCCATGGCGAAAATCAAAGAGCAACAAATTAAGAAGTGGATGAAGAAAACTCATTTTATTTTTAATTACCACCGAACAAGTAAAAAAATGAATGATTTTTTTTTTACATCAAGATGTGTATTTTTTCATTTCATACTGCCTCCTCTGTTCCTTATAACTTTGTCATCTTTCTTTTTTTGTTATCTCCAAAACATTGTTACTTTCCCTTTTAGTCAATTAATCCAATGAACGAAGTCACTTTCATACATAGTATAATTTTTCTTATTTTATAAATGCAATATATTCTAATTGTAATTTCTCTATGATCAGTACATGCATTAAGCCAATGAATGAAGTCAAATTCATCAATTTCAATAGTTTAGGGGGAGTGTAAGACGTCCTACCGCATAGGGCCTCTCGATTCAAAGGCCCAAAATTTTAAATATACGGTTTATATTATATACAAAATGCTTTCTTTTTTGTTTATAAATTGCCACTTTTTTAAAATACAAACATAAAAAAGTATAGAGTAATATTTACATGTAATTAAAATAAATTTCTTTTTTTACTCCAGGGGGCGTCTGGGGGAGGGGGGATGAGGGGGACCTGGAGTAATCAGGGCTAAAACACACTCCATCGAGTCTTATTGGGAGTTAATTTATTTACTTATTCGGATTATTTATTTTTCTCCTAAATCATTGTATTTTAGGAAGTTTATTCCTTTTAGACTTCTTTCTTATTTTGGTTTAGGGTGATCCGTGTTTTGGATGTAAAAGCCATGCGGCTATATTAAAAGGATGTACGCAGTACTTTGAAAACACAAGATTGATTTTTTCCTTCTTCTTTATTTTCGTACTGCTCCTTTATGTATCATGCAAAAGTAATATGGTATCAGAGCACTCTTGATTGATCCTTGAGCATGGCGAATGATGATGACGGTGCAACATCCGGCGGCACTGCGGCGCATGCAGCGGTGGCTGATTCAACAGCCGAGAACAAAGCTTCGGCAGTTGGTGAGGGAAGTAGCAACCAATCGATGTCGTTGCCTGGTTTCACGCCTGAGCAAAGGAAATCCTTGTTGACCATTTTTCGGTAACCCTACAGCTTCTAATGATCGCATGACATGTAAATTTGATCATAATGATTGGATTATTGATACAGGGGCGACAAATCATGTTTGCGGAAATTTGGTCACTTTGTGTCAAATTAAATCGGTTGAGCCTTGCTTAGTTGGTCTACCGGATGGACAGACGGTGGAGGCTACACAGGAAGGCCGTGTAGAATTATTTGAATATTTTTATTTAAATAATGTTCTATATGTCCCTGCGTTAAAATGCAATCTTATCTCGGCCTCTCAATTAAGTGATCAGTTAAATTGTTTTGTTCAATTCACTAGTAACTTATGTGTTATACAGGACCGTCACTCGAAGAGGCTGATTGGAACGGGTGAGCGGCGGAATGGACTGTACTATCTTCGGGAGGAACCCTCAGGGAGGATCTTGGCAGTCAGAGACTCAAAGGAACCTGAAGTTGATTTGTGGCATCAACGATTGGGGCATCCTTCTCCAAAAGTTATTGAACACTTAGTTCCTATAAGTGGTGTTAAGGTTGCTGGCAGTTTACCTTGTGATATTTGTTTTAGGGCAAAGCAAACACGAGATTCGTTTCCTACTAGTTTGAATAAAACTCATGCTATTATTGAATTAATGCATTGTGATTTATGGGGTCCTTATCAGACCCCTTCTTCGTGTGGTGCTAGACATTTCTTGACTATTGTGGATGATTACTCCCGTGCAGTATGGGTTTATTTATTAGTTGATAAAAAGGATGTGTTAAAAATATTCCTTTCTTTTGTTGCTATGGTTGATCGTCAATAAAGTGTTAATGTGCGAAGTGATAATGGCACTGAATTTAATTGCCTGAAGGATTTTTTCAGAAGTAGTGGTGTAATTTTTCAGACATCTTGTGTTGGCACGCCTCAACAAAACGAGCCTTACGGGCGTGTTGAACGCAAACACAGACACATTTTAAATGTGGCACGTGCCCTGAGATTTCAGGGGCACTTACCGATTTCTTTTTGAGAAGAATGTGTACTCGCGGCATCACACCTTATTAACCGCACCCCCTCGGCTATTCTTGATTATAAAACTCCTTATGAGATTTTGTTTGGTGCACCACCTTGCTATAAATCTCTATGGGTATTTGGTTGTCTGTGCTATGTGTTCAATTTAAAGTCAAAAGGAGATAAATTTGCTAATCGGAGTAGAAAGTGTATTTTTTTTGGGATATCCATTTGGCAAGAAAGGTTGGATTGTCTATGACATTGAGAACGGAGAATATTTCGTGTCTCATGATGTCAATTTTTTTGAGAATATAATCCCTCTTGCACAACCTCTCAAGCCCTTGGATCAAACGGATCCATCATCAGAAATTTTGCTCCAGCATTATGATCACATGGATAATCATGGATATCCAGTAGTGCATGATGAAGTTGCTCCACATCATGTCCCGGTTGTTACTTCTTCTGTTGCGGACTCACACGCCTTCCAGGAGGTGCATGCGGACTCCCATGCATCTCATGACCAGCCCGAAACAGTGTGGCGGGGACACCGCCCACACATGCCCTCTGTCCGTCTTCGGGATTACGTCACTCATACTATTGTGCAAAACAGTCCACCGAACCCGAGATCTCCCGTAAGGGAGAGTGAATCGACGACCAGCTGAGCTGGATCGCTTCATCAATTAAAATAAAATTCTTAATTAATGCTTTGTATTGTGCAATTTTCTTAACCTATCTTATAAAGGACGGAAGTTTTCAATAAATGTTGAGTTATGTGTTAAACACTCCTAGATTGTGGTATATCTTCATGTATTTTGTGTTATGTATGATATACGCTAATGATTATGCATCATGGTAATGTTAGAAGATCGTTAGTTCACCAACGGTGTTTAAGTCCGTCAGTTAAACACTCCATAAGTGCTACTCGTACATTATATTTGCTTCTCCTTAAGCCGTAAACTTTCGTTACTATGGAATCATTTTAAACAAAAACTAAGAATTAATTAGTGTTTTGAATTGTTTCATCCTTAGCAGTTTAATAAAAGTTTTGTCTTGATAGATGTACTCAAAACTACAATTTTTCTTTTATACTCCGTATAATAAAACTTTTTGAGACCATTTGACAACACTATTTTTCTGCTTATCAGACTTATCAATCAACTTTTTCACCAAACACGTAATTTTTGCTTTCGCGCGTTGAATTGTGTAATAAGCAAAAAAGAAAGGTTGGAGTTACTTTTCTGGGTGTATTGGCTGAAAACTGTAGATGATCATTTTAACTATTTTAAAATATGATTTTGTCTTTATTTTATTAATAAAATATATTTTAAAAATAGTTTTTTCTTAAATTAGCAGAATCAACCAATGCAGTCACTTCAGCCAAAACTTCATAAATTTTAGCAGAATTAGCCAAATGAGCCGATTTTCGGGCTACCAAACGGACTCTTTGATTAGCTCATATACTTAAACACTTGACATCATTTGCTCAGCTCATACCTAAAACTTATACACACTACCTCATTTTTCATTCTAAAAAATTACTCTGTAATCCGTATTGTTTTTTCATCTATTAAATTGCAACTCCGTCAAGATACGAAGTATAACATACGATTCTATTATAGTACTCTATATAAAAATAATGAGAAAATAATTAAAATACTCCAAACTTTGAAAGAG